GACAGAACGTCTCAGCTGAGGACAGAACGTCTCAGCTGAGGACAGAACGTCTCAGCTGAGGACAGAACGTCTCAGCTGAGGACAGAACGTCTCAGGAACTTTGGAGACAATGATGGACATCATGTTAAAGATCAAGACTTTAAGACCATCTCCAAGCAGCTGTTTGTCCCTGTGACCACAGCTGCACAGATTATTCAGAGGTTTAAAGTCAGCACAAAAACACCTGGATGTCCACAGACCAGAACACCTGTGACCAGAACACCTGTGGACAGGTGGACCAGAACAGCTGTGGACAGGTAGACCAGGTGGAGAAGTGTGAGTTACAGAAAGCAGTGAACTGAAGTGATTTCCTCAAAGTTAAATAATAATGTACTGTAGTTTTTGTCAGGACCAGCTTCATTAGTTTGTTTTTCAAAGTAAAACAAATATAAAATGAAGTTTTTTCTCTCTTTAATGAAAGGGTAAAGACAGGTGAGTCTGTGTGTWTAACCAGGTGCTTGTCTCAATGACACAATGGTGACATTTATGAAATMTATCAGACCTTCTTGTATGAGTTTAAGGAGGATTTTAACGAAGATGCTGTCTTTAGCTGCTTCCAGAGGATCTTCGTTGCCATCAGCAGAGGACCAGCTGAAAGACCAGTCAAACATGTGAGAAGTGGTGGTARTTTTGACATTTTAACATGTAGCATTTATAAAAAGCACAGGTCTGAGCTGATGCCATCACTGTTACCGACATCGGTTCTTCAAAGGAATCCAACGGATATACACCGGATAAACATTAACACTGTTTACTTTCACTTAGATGTTTTTGTTTACATTGATGGCCTTCCACCGCCACAGGTAAAACTAAAGACCTTTCACAGAAYGTCAGGGACCAGATAGTAGATCTGTGCAGGGCTGGAAAAGACCACAAGACCACCAGCAAAGGTTTGGGTGAAAATGTGACATTGGGTAGTGTGCTTATTCAGAAATGGAAGAAATAATTTTAACACTAGCTACGTTTACATGGACATAAGTAATCTGATTAAACGGCCATTCGGAAAAAAAATGCATAATTTAAACAACCCATTCGGATTATTCTGACTCGATTCAGCTCGATCCGAATGAATTTGTAATCGGAATGATTACAAATTCTAAAACTGTGCCTGCACCGCTTTGCAAAAAAAATAAAAATAAATAAATAAATAAAGTCCGCGCATCACCTGTAGCTCAACCAGAGAGTGCAGTAACGTCTCTACCATTATTAAAAACCTGTTGCAGGTCCATTCTGAGCTCAGAAGCTGTTTGTTTATCTTCATCATGGAAGTAGAACTTTTTACTGTGTTTTCTTTTAGGGAAAGTTAACAACTGCGCATGTCAGTGCTTCTGTTCTGAATAACTCATGTTAACATTCAGCGTAACGCCCGCGTGCCGTTTTGTGTTTTATTTTGAAGTATAATATCTGTTTCCTGTTCAGCCTGTGTCCGTGTTCAATGCATCAAACTTGACGTCTAGGCCCTCCTCTTTCGAGTGACACCTCATTTGACCAACTGGGTTCAAGTTTCACCTGTCTAGGGCCAATAATATTTTAGTGATGACCAACTTCCAGTTTTCGTCTTTCTAGTTTTGATTGACTGTAAAATCGGCCAATCAGCTCCGAGCTTCGTTCTGATGCCACAGC